GAGGAGGGGGGGAGAGACAGGGAATGCCGAATAGGCATCTCCGCGCAATACTCAAACGTAATATGTGATCTGGCAAGCAGCCAAGGAGGGGTGGGGCAAGAGGAATGTGTGTGCGGGAGGCATAGGTCGTGTGAGTTCTGGTAACTACTCGGTTGGAAAACGAAATTGAAGCTAATAGAGGCTTCCAGAGCAGTAAAGAAGTAAACAACCTAGTACACAAGGAAACGACAGAAACTGCGAAAATAATAAAAAGGTAAGGATTGCGTCTCCCATTTTTTATAAGTGCCTCTTTCCGCTAAAAATACTGCGGCGGAGAACAATTTTGAACGCTGTCGACAACTGGGTGTTGGAGATTGAAATACTGTATGGGCATATAAAGAGGCTGAAAATGTTTACGCAGTGTAAATGAAAATCAGCAGTCACTGAATGAAATCTCGAAACAAGTTCCTACACTGCAAATATCGCTTAAGGAATCTGCTGAGACTGATAAATGCAGATTATGACTCAAAGATGATTCGGTAGAATCCTACTTTGGGTCCCAGAAATTGTTTAAATGACCTAATGTTTTCGCAACAAAATAGCGCGCCATAAATAAACGCATCAATTTACTTGCATTTCTTACTTACTTACACTCTAACGGCTGTGATAAATTTAGACATTCTATTACTTACTTATACTTTATAGTTTATTGGGTTCCTTGATATTCCTGAAAATAAATTTGGTGGTCAGGAGGTCACCTACTTCAAATTACCTGCGTTCCAGCCTACCGTTCTGGAGTTAGATTAGTAAATTTCACGGCGCGAAGCGCCGCGCACACCTTCTATTTATATGCTCAAAAACTTTGCGTTAGTTTACTTCATTTGGTTTAGTTAACATATTTATGTTTAAGTTGAGTTAGCAGTTTAATTTACAGTTCATTAATATTTTTACAACTTTTAGCGCAGTTTTAGATTATTTTTCGGTTAACAAGTTTAGCTTACTTCAGTTTACGTTTTTTTACTTACTTGATTTTAGTTATAGTTAGTTATTTCTTAATTTACTTATTTCCCAATATTTGCATAATTACACCTTTTAACTATGGCGCGCTATTTTCCTGATAAAAATTAGATTATTCAAATAATTATTCCTGGGTTTTTTCTACTTTTATAAACTTTTTTATTTATGTTTCTTTTGCCTTCCTTTGTATTGCTCAGACTGGAGGCTTTTTATTACACCCGGTCCTGTATTACAGAAGGATGAGACTTTCGCATGCTGCTCAGGGACCCAAGGTATGATTCTACCGATGATTCGTTTGAGCTTTTGCGGTCTACCTCTCTTGAATACAACTCACTATGTAATTTGAGTTTTTTAAAGCTATCAAAGGTCTTTAGTTATAAATTATGTCTCTTTAAATGTAGCTGTTGAGGGTATAGGAGATAAAGTTTGTCTGAGAGGAGGGTACACTAAGATGGATTCATAACAGTTCCGAATTGTCTGGCATACGTGGTTGCTGAAAAAGACGTTCAGGCTTTCCTTTAGTAAGACCTCGATACTGGTGCAAATCGGGAGCGATTTGCTTATTCCGTCAGCAACATGAGGACATAAAACG